AGTCCAGGACGCCGCCTGACTAACTTTAGTGCAGGATTCGTTCTTCGTACTCCCGGCGATAGTTCCCGAGGTACTTTAAAATGCCCTCTCCTCGCCGAGTCTACGCCGAACGCCTACATGCTAAACCAGACCCTTATCTGTCATCCAGCGACCCGGAAGCGAAATGGTCGCTGTTAAGGCCGGCATCACTTCCGAAGCACTACCTTTATTCATTCATTCTCCATTTATACACATCCACACTCTATTCATCAGCAAGGAGGCTCCCTGTCTCGTTCCAGGCAGCGCGCAGAAGACCCTTATCGCTCCTAGTTCGGCATCATTCCCAAACGGACATTTCCTCCTTCCCCACAGTCAGACTCACGCATTCTAACTCAACCAGTGTGACCCACTGTTCTAACTTCACCTTTCAGCATCATTCACTCTACCTTTGCCGTTGGTCCAGCTGTTTTTCTTCCTCTTCCATTTTCTTGATCACTGCACGGATATAGCTGTGTATATTAATCCAACCTTATTTATTTTCAATCATGCTCTCAATCACTTCTCTCACTATAACAAAATTCACACCTGTCTCTCTCTCCATTCTGCTCCTTTCCACTATCCATCTGCTGCAATCTAACATCGTATGTGTCACAGTGTCCGAGTATCCACAGTATAGGCATTTTCGTCCACTGTGCCACATCCTCCGTGTTGTTCCATTCTTCTTGCCATCTTTCAACTGAACTTTCCCTTACCTGTCTTCTCTCAGCCACAGTAAGGTTTGGGCCTCTTCTCTCATAAAGCTCTTTTCTTTTCACCGCCAAAACATGCAACGGAACACATCCAGTGATGGTCCTAAAGGCTGCCGCAGACACAGTCCTGTAGGCGCATGTGCCACTCGCAACAGACTTGTTCTCTCCACTCGTTTCATGAGACTCCTATAGGCTGTTATCTCTACCGCCTCGCTCCAGACTGGTGCCGCGCAGAGGACGATAGACTGTACAACACCGTGTAAGACCCTCCTCCTTTCGGATTTGGTTCCTCCAATGTTCGGCATCACCCTCCCCAACGCAGCCGCACTATTCGCAGCCTTTCGGACCACCTCCCGAACGTGCTCCCCCCATTTTCCATTCTGGTGCAATGTCACTCCTAGATACTTTACTTGTATCTTGGGTGTTAGACATACTCCCGCACATTTTAATTCAACACCTTGCCTGTTCCTTGTCCCCTTCAGAATGATGGCTTCGGTTTTCTCTGTCGCAAGTTCTAGTCCGTGCTGTGTCATCCATTTCTTTACGAAGCCACCTGCGTTCCGAACCCGGTATTTGAGATCTGGCTCATCCCGGGCTACTAACAGTACAGCGAGGTCATCCGCGAATGCGAAGGGGGTTGCACCCGCTCCGTATTCACAGTGCATAACCCCGTCATATGCCAGATTTCATAGCGTCGGACCCAAGACAGATCCCTGGGGTACCCCAGGGATACCCTGTAATATAATACACCTGCTCCTTCCTAATGCTTTTCTAGTACGGACTGTCTTTATTTATTATACTTTATGAAAGTACAACCCACTATAAACCGTGCAATTCGCATGACATAACAAACTAGTTCTGTTCTGGTGTTTTTCTCGTTACTACAGTGTCCTTACTTTAACGACTCAACAAAGCCAATTAATTTTGTAAAAAGTTTTTTATTGTGGCGTCATAATGCAGTTTATTATTTTTATTGGGAATAAGGCACAATGTGACTTTACAATAAGCTTATTTTGATATTTAGATTTCCAATTCGAAAATCGTACTTAAAATACGAAACATTAATAAATTTTATTTACATAAAATTATTTCCCTAGTGGAAATTAAAATGTTAAATTAAGATTGCAAAGGAAAATTCTGGCATATTTCCAATGAAAAACAGTAAGCTGCCATTTAAATCAATTCTCAATTTATTTCAACCAATACTTTGAGAAAGTAGAGAACGCTACATTACATCGTTCAAGATAAACTTAAATATTTATTCATTGTCATACTTCCATTCTTTGGAATACTACTTCAACTTGCACTGTCGGTTGGGTATAATTAGTAATTAATCACACTATGAGAGTCATTCCGACTTGTCTGACTCCAGTGGACTCCTGACTCCGGATAGCTGGCGAGTTCAACTGTCTTGGAGAGGGAAAGACGGCAGTGAGCGAGTAACTTTCGTGGAGAGGGCAGGCGGCCTCAGGAGAGACGTAACAAAAGGGTATAATCAACCCAACGTAAATACGAAACGTTTGGTCACCCTAGTCTAATCACGTCTATCGTATTTAGCGTAATGTACTAAAAAAAAACAAGAATTCCGTGTTAGGATTTGTGAAAATAAAAAGAAGGGATTTGATCAGGATATAAAGTTTTCTTTTCAAACATATTTACAGTTTAAAAATTCTTTCCAAGAACGTCGAGCGAGTATAGTAGCCTCGTATCTCGTATTTCCGTGAGACTGTGCAAAAATATATGTATCTGTAATAAAATCATTCAACAAAAAGGTACTCTACCAGGAGTCTGTAAAATTATCAATGACTCAGACGTATAATAATACAAAGTTTCCAGATTCCACTCGATATTAACATTCAGACGTGCCTGGTATAATCTTTTAAAATATGAACCAGATATGAACAATCAACCAATTAAGTTTTCATCGAACTTATGACAAGTCCACGTGGACTAACGGCCAATAAAAACATCGGATATCGCTGTTATGACAAATCATAATGCAATATCTTTTGTCGGTAGACTTATTCATACTTGGGGTAAGATTATATCAGTATTTGACTGAGCTTACGGAGTCATAAAATAAGGGATCAGGTTTCGACCGTCCAGTGCCGAAGGCACGGGACGGGGAAAACTTAGGTAGGCAAATTTTTATATTTTATTTTTAAATTGCGGAGATGACCAACAGATTTTTGGGAGACAAGAATATTTTTAGTAAAATCATAACTGCTACAGCGTTCAGTTAAATTCAAATTTCAAATAGTGAACCGCAAGTTAGTTTGGTAGTGACTTTTTTCAGTGTTCTTTATACGGAAAACATTTTGTATTTTACGTTTTTTACTTTTTTTGATACGTTTTTACGTGACTATGTTTTTATACGTTTGATAATTTTAAAATATTGCGTCCGTGGTGCGATAATAATTATGTAGCTGAAGAGACAATGGAACCCTCTAATCGATTGGAAGATTTACAAAGGCGTGTAGTAAAACGTAAGCGACATTTTCAATACCTTTCTGATAATGCCAAACGTATGCTAAAAAATGTTTATGAAGGACTGTGTGCTGAATTGTCTAATTCAGAGGCAATTGCAGAAACATGTTTTTTAACCAGAGTGCCCAAAGCAACCCACTACAAAATTATAGGAGAAACATCTTCTTCTAGACAGAAGAGAAAGGCTTGTCACAAATTCAGAAAAATAGAACCGCACTTAATTGAATCTATAACTAGAACAATATACCAAATGTATGCGGCTAATATTTTTCCAACTATTGAAAGCCAATAATTTTAAGTACAAAACTATAGACAAGAGACAGACATTAATGGAAAGTACTAGAATAATTTCTTTAAGAAACAATTATATCAGACAGATAACTGAGTATCAAAAAATTAAACGAAATATTGTTTATTTAGATGAGACCTGGTATGATACTCATGACACCGTGAAAAAAAAGTTGGACAAATAATAACAAAAAGTGTTTCAACTCAGTACCGCCCAATAAAAGAAAGAGAATTATAATTTTACACTGCGGTGGAGAAAATGGATGGGTCGACGATGCATTATTAATATCTGCAAAACAAATTAAAAACGCGTCTCTGGATTATCATGACGATATGGAAAGTTCAATTTTTGAATCATGGTTTGAAAAATGTCTTTTTCCGAAATTACTTAAAGATAGTGTGATTATCATGGACAACACATCATATCATTCAAGATTAATGAAAAAAACTTCAAATAATAGTTGGAATAAATTAAAAATTCAGGATTTTTTATTCACGGAAGATTTTTATTTTGAGACATCTTATATTAAAAAGCAATTGTTGGAGGTTGTTCATAGTAAACAGTACGAAAAGGAATATGTTGTTGACAACTGTGCTCGTAGTAACGGGCATACTGTGTTTAGACTTCCTCCTTATTATTGTACATTGAACCCAATAGAGTTAATATGGGCTCAACTTAAAGGCAATATAACGAAGAAACGTTGCTCCAAAATTTTTTGTCTACTGTTCTCCAGTTAATTAGAAGAGAAGTCACAAAAATTACAGCAACCAACTGGAAAAATGTAATAAAAATAAAACATGTGATCGGAGTGGAAAATATCTATGTTAAATATTTACCAGCATTAACAAATTACATATAAATTTAGATGATACGAGTGATACTAGTGATAACAGCGATTCTGAGTAGATAGTAAGTATTTATTAGGTGTTAGTTGAAACCTTTATTTCTATTTTAATTGTAGATATTCTCATTTTGCTTATATATCTTTGAAAACAGGGTATAAACACACTTCTTGATAGGACAAAAATTATTAATGTTTTAGGGGAGGATGTCAACTGAAACTGTCACTGTCATTCTCGCTGAATAACTACTATTATTAACAAGTTTTTATATAGATATTATTATTTTACAATAAGTTCTGTTCAGTCGAGTCGATTAGTGTTATCACTCCCAAGATATATAAGAGAAGTTAAAAACACCGATATTTTTTATTTAAACTTTATAGAAAATGAAACTGTTTGGTAAATAAAATTAAATAAAAGTAAAAACTTTTATTTAATTTAAAATTAGATATCTACGCTACTGTTCTACTACTATATACTACAATAAAGGAGTGGTAACTCTAACAGCGTTGCCATTTTACTAGTATTTTGCTTGTTTTGGTCTCTGTAAATTTTCTCACGAAATTACGTGCCGACTATACAAAGAATGTAATTTATGTATGTAGGTATGTATGTGCTTACTAATTTATTTACCGCTATTTTATTTTGTTACAGATCAGCAAAGAAGATAAGGTGTCCCAAAAAATGTGCAATAAATGCATCAACAATATAGTAAAAATGTTTGAGTTTAGAGAACAATCTATAAGAAACGATAACCGACTGAAGGTAATTTTAAACTGTTTTATTGTAATTTTATTTTATAACATAAAATCAATTTTAGGAAAAATATGCAGAGATTACAAAAAATCGACGAACTAACAACGGTGAAGTAGATGTACGTAAGAAAGATGGCAAACTAGACGACAATTGCGGAGTAGCTAAAAAAGCATCTTCTGATATTAACGCTAAACCAAAAGAACGTAGTAAACACCTAGTTCATCCGAGTATTACGCCAATTTTCAAAAAGTATCCCACTATACGTTTGCCCTCAATATGCATAAAATCGAACCTATCTCCTAGGGTAGTTATGGGTATGGATGAAGTTGAAAATTATTTTAACGAACGAAATTTAAATATGCAGAAGTATATAAATATGGCACTGAAGACCCAGACACGAAGAGTTGCCATGAAGAGTACATCAACAGCTACAATATCCAATTTTATAAAGAAAAAGACAATTCCTGAATACTTTCATGCACTCAAAAATTCTAATAATAAAAAACGTTTCGATCAAAAGACTGATAGTCTGGAAGTTAGTGTGGGAGTTTCAAATACGCGAAAACGAAAAAGGACGATATCTAGTGGCAGTTCTTCACCTGAAAATGATATGGAACCGTTAAACATTGATATTAGTGACGATTTATCTTCTTCAACTCCAAGTCCAGCTCTTTCGGCAATCAGTGATGCGGGTTCTGATTTATCATTTGCCCAATCCAAAGAAATGCATATGTGTAATATTTGCAATTCGGTATTTTCCCAAGCGATTAGTTTGAATAGACACCAGCGTAAGCACCTTCGCTGTCAGTTTTGTAAAGTTAAATTTAGGTCTTTAAAATCAAAAGATATCCACCTTAATAATAATTGTAAAGTGTACAGAATAATGAAATCTATGGCCCACTTGCCCGATATACCACTTCAGAAAATAGAACAAAATGTAAAAATACAACAAAAATTCCAAAATGCCTTCGCCGCTTTTAATCTTGTTCCAAAGAAGAATAGTACCACCACGAAATGTCAGACGGAAATTTCAAAGAATAAAAAATTGGATGCTGATAAAACTCTTCAGAAGAAGAATAGTACCACCCCGAAATCTCAGACGGAAATTTCAAAGATTAAAAAACTGGATGCAGATAAAACTCTTCAAATGAAGAATAGTACCACCCCGAAATGTCAGACGGAAATTTCAAAGATTAAAAAACCGGATGCAGATAAAACTTCAACAAGAGAATTAAAAAATGATCTAAATATTGAAATTAATATACGCAACAGCCAAATATATAGTACGATTCCCACAGAAAATACTAATGATGCAAAAATGATAAAAAGCATGTTACAACAATATAATAGAATGCATCGAAAAATTAGTAGTGTATCCCAAACTCACTTACCGACTAATGCACTAATAAAGTTCCATCACACTGATCTATCTATTGAACTAAAACACTTAAAACAGAATTTACATTATCACAAAATACCTGTCGAGATTAACTGTGGAACTTCGTTTAACGCGTCATATAAATATGATGCTTCATTCAAAAACAAAAGCGAAATCTCTAGAAACAAAACATTACAGAAATGGACTGATTTAAGTTGCTGCGATATTAGTTTTAGTAGTGGATTAAACGAACGCGTAAACATCAAACAAGAAATGCTAGATAATGCCACTGAGCAACAAAATGAGAATGAATTAACAGCTCAAGTGTCTGTAATATCTGAAACGAGCAGTGATGAACGTTGTACATCTACTAATTCACACGATTTTGATAATACCGATGCTTCCGCTGATGTATCATCCAAACTGACTAATAATATAGAAAACCAAACATCTGATCAATGTATTGAGGAAGAATCTGCTAATAATTTGGATATTAACAAAACTCCAAATATTCTTCAAAAGGATATCACAGATAAAGAAATTTTGATGAGTGATACAGAACAAGAAACTACTAATGATAATAATACAAACGCCATGGATTCTGAAAGTACAGAAGAGTATTATAAAAATATTATGGACGAATCTAATGATACACTGAATGGTGGTTGCCCCTCTAATGACGACGAACGTTCTTTAAATTTAGAACATTCCCAATCAGAAAAGGAACACGATGTTGACGAGGAACAAAATCTTACCATTGCTACTAATTCAAGCCATAAAAATTCAGAAGAAAAACAGAATGGGGAAACTCAAATAAATAATGTAGAAGTTGTTGAGGGTCATAGTAATAACTATGAGAATATTAAATCTAGAGATATAGAAAAGAACATCACAGATGTTTCTAGTATGGAGGTAAATACTGAAAAGGGAAATGAAAATAGTTCAAACGTCGATTCTGAAAAAATAATTACTGACGATATTAATATAAATACAATAGAATCTGAAAATTCGGAGGGAAATCGTAACTTGAAAGATGATTTCATCTCTAATGAAGATATTGAAGACATAGTCAAAGAACAAACTAAACTCACTACTAATCCAAATGATAGTAAAAAAATAGAAGGAAAAGAAAACGGGGAATGTCAGATAAGTGAACAAGATTATGTCAATCTTCATAATCCCAATGATAATAATGGTTCTTCCAGGGTAAAACAAAATATTGAAAGAGATAGTGAGACTATTGAATTAGAATCTGAAGTCGATTCTTTACAAGGTAATACAGTTCCCGAAGTAAAGGTGACCAATAAAAATTGTTTAGAAACATCTGTGACAACTGACAGTAGACAAGAATATGTAGAGCCTTTTAGTAGCACTGATATATCTGATACATCTACTATCAGAGTGAAGACTGTTTGTGAACTTAATAAGTAGGTTATTGCATATTATTATTTTAGACTTATATGTTTTTGTTATTGTACTTTTAAAATATTTTAAAAATTATACAATTTCATTTTATTATTGTTTTATTTTATAAATAGGTACCAGTATCCTACTAAAGTCTATTTGGTGAATTTACACGAGTTTCGGATAAGTAATTGGGCAACGGTTCAATTGACCATCTAAACAAATTATTGTAAATAATTATACAGGGTGGTCTTTAAGTAATTGCACAAAAAGAAACCGTAGATTATACACTTTAAAATATTACGATTTAAGCCAAATTGCTTTAATAAAATGTTAATATTAAGAAATATATAGGGTGTTAAAAATGAAATTTAAAATTTTAATTTTTGCTATAACTGTTATGTTTGTGAACATTTATGTATCAAAATTTATAACTAGGTACTACTGAACATCAAAAATTATAATTTGATGCATACTTTAATGTAGCTGATATAGGGCGCCACAAATGTGGCATACATTTGCACTTAACTTTTTGCTCTTTAAGTTACCGGTGTTAAAGTGTTCGATATATCCACCATTTTCTTTAATTCATTTGTCAATACATTCTATAAAAGATAGTCTCATATTAAATAGCATCATTAGTTCTAAAGAAACTGCTGCAGTATTTATAATAAGTATAATATATAATAAATATAATATAATAATAAAGTATTCGTTTGGGATTTTTATGAATTAAATAATTATATTAATATCTCACCACATGACCAAGGAATATGATTACCACGAACAATCCAACGTTCAGGAAAGTTGTATTAAATTCTGTTCTCACTGCAGTCTCTCTATAATGGTGATGCACAATCTTGCATAAACCACATATTTCGCCTAAAGTTTGATGACAATTCTTCCAATAAATCAATAAAATAATTTTATAAAAAATGTAAATAAATCTCTCCATTCAAATTACAAGGTAATTCCCATGTCCGTAAAAAATAATTACAAATGGTACCAAACCATACGATATGCATTTTAAACATGAATTTTAAATAAACGTATGGTTTGGAACCATTGGTAATTATTTTTTACGGCCATGCGAATTACCTTGTAATGTGAATGGTGAGATTTATTTACATTTATTATAAAATGATTTTATTGATTTATTGGAAGAATTAATGTCATCAAACTTAAGGCAAAATATGTAGTTTATGCAAGACGGTACACCACCACATTATAGGGCAGTGAGAATATATACTCCATTCCACGAATATACGACTGTTTTAAATTCGCTTTAAGGTGTCGATTTAAATGGTCCAATGTACTGAATTGTACAATAATAAATTCTCCCCATTTTTAAAATACTGTTACGACAGATATTAACCTTAGATTTAAATATAAAGTCATGATATACATGGAGTTTATTTTTTCATTTCAATTATTTCATTGTAAACAAGTTGGTTTTTGAATTATGTGATTTAAATGAAATGTAACAATACTTAAGTGATCAAATAGTGTAAATTTTTTAGTCGAATATTCAATTAATATTAAAAAAACAAAAAAACTTACTAATTCACTTATTCTCTTAATTTTCTAAAACTATCATCAACGATCAGATTCACAGCCATAATCAGTCGGCGATATATGAAACTGTATATAAATTTTCGTTACTTTTTAATATCTCTAACGACTCGGTACTTTAACTATCAATAGCCGGTATGTTATACCCGTTACTTTCGGAACTTTTAAGAGAACATAAACTCAAAGCAAACAAATATTTAAAACTAACAAAGTGAAATATTAGATCCTTTTTCTGGTTTGTGAACCATCGTTCTGCCAATTTCTTTTCATTTATAATAAAAATAGTATATTTCTTATTATTACAGTTGTAATACCTCATAAAGCAATAAAATGTGTTATATCAAAGAAACCCGGCACGCCTATTTGGTGTTTACATTTCACGGAAAGCTTACCCAAATGTCTGATGAACACATTTAGCTTCGTAGACGTCGTTGTATTTATTTGTAGATTTTAACTGAAATAATTTTAGTTTAGATGTCATACTAGTAGACCCTTTTTATTGGAATAATGATTAGACCAATTGACCTTCATACTTCTACTTGCACAGTAAAATATTCGTTCTCGCAGTAAACCAAAACAGTCGTATATTCGTGGAATAGCCTATACTTAAATACTATGTTCCTGAACGTTGGATTGTTCGTGGTAGTCATATTCC